TGTGTGTGTGTGTGTGTGTGTGTGTGTGTGTGTGTGTGTGTGTGTGTGTGTGTGTGTGTGTGTGTGTGTGTATGTGTGTGTGTGTGTGTGTGTGTGTGTGTGTGTGTGTGTGTGTGTGTATGTGTGTGTGTGTGTGTGTGTGAGTGTGTGTGTGTGTGTGTGTGTGTTGCTCCTCTGTGTGTGTGTGTGTGTGTGTGTGTGTGTGTGTTGCTCCTCAGTGTTTGTGTGTTTGTTTGTGTGTGTGTGTGTGTGTGTGTGTGTGTGTGTGTGTTGGTCTTCTCTGTGACTGAGTGTAAGAAATGGTTGCTCTTCAGCTTTTGTTTTGGGTTGAAGCTAGCACCCAAAGTTGAGCAAAACTGGACTGATTCTCCATTTCCCGTCCTCTGGGAATGTCCTGGTGTGTAAAACAGCTATATAATAAAGTGTAGAGCTCGGTGTTTTAGTTTTAAATGGTAAAAATGATTTATAGGAGTGTTTATTTAGCAGTCATATTACACAGAATGACTTATATTGTATGTAATAAATCAGTAGATGTCTGTGTAACGTCCTCATTTAGACAGCTAAGCAAATGTGTGTGTGTGTGTGTCTAATGCGTCTCTGTGTGTGTGTGCAGAGGAGACGGCGTGTGCAGCAGGAGTCGTATCTCGTATGTAGTTTTACTCCTCTTTAATCACTCCATCATTACTCACTCCTGATTGGCTGATTTTGCGTCACTAACTGCTCGGTGATTGGTCAACACTGGTGTGGGTCACATGATCACGTCAGGGTCACACACACACACACTGCACTATTGGCATGCGCTGCAGTAACTAACAGCACGCTGCGTTATTCTCAGGCTCCCGCATTAACCCTGTCCAGAATGCCCTGGGTTTGCTGATTTTTATGAGTTTTTTTTACTTTTATTGTGATTTTGTGGTTTAATTTCTGTGATCTGAAGTTTGATCTGTGATCAGTCTCATGAACCGTGTCGAATGCGCCTCATATTTCAGACACACACACACACACACACACACACACACACACACACACACACACACACACACACACACACACACACACACGCGCGCGCATCACTGTTAGGTCACAATTGTTAACACTAATTAGTAGCGCATAAGCTATCAATGTGCAATGTGCATAAATACATGCATATATATATATATATAAATATTTACAGTTGAAGTCAGAATTATTCGCCTACTTGTTTATTTTTCCCTAGTTTCTGTTACAGAGAGCAGATTTCTCCAACACATCTCTAATCATAACAGTGTTAATAACTCATCTCTAATAACTGATTTATTTCCTCTTTGTCATGATGACAGTAAATAATATTAGACTAGATATTCTTCAAGACACTTCTATACAGCTTACAGTGACATGTAAAGGGGTAATTAGGTTAACTAAGCAGGTTAGGGTAATTAGGCAAGTCATTGTATAACGATGGTTTGTTCTGGAGATTTTCCAAAAACAAATATAGTTTAAAGTGGCTAATAATATTGACCTTAAAATGGTGTTTAAAAAATTAAAAACTGCTTTATTTCTAGCTGAAATAAAACAATTAAGACTTTCTCCAGAAGAAAAAATATTATCAGACACACTGTGAACATTTCTGTGAACTTTATCATTTGTAAAATATTTTTAAAAGAATTTTAAAAAATCAAAGGCGGTAAATAATTCTGACTGCAAATGTGTGTGTGTGTATATATGTTATATATATATGTTATACTGTTATTTATATATATATATATATATATATATATATATATATATATATATATATATATATATATATATATATATATATATATATATATATATATATATATATATATATATATATAT